GGGATATTACGTTGTCTTGCTTACAGCTACGCAGTGCGTCGTTAAGACGTAACCACCGCCGTTTCGCTAACCCGCAGGTCAACGAAATCCTGTCGAGAACGAGGTTAGGCTTAACCAGTCGTAATCGTTACATCATCGAAGGTACAGCGTGTCTTCAACTGGTCCACACTCGAGCGCATCCTGTATGCTCACGGTCCTGGTTACATTGCAGGCGACGGTGGAGCGGACCTCAGGGCCCTCTACTTGGCGCAGTCAACAGACGCGCCGACAGCTGTTGGGGCCCAGGCTGCAGCCGCTGAACCAGCCGCTGAAGCGACAATGGGGGGCAACGATCCTGTGCCAGTCGACCTCACCTTAGCAGGTAGGGCCGTTGTCACCGAGGTTCAAAAGCCTGCCCCGTTTTACGAGTATCCTGTCTGGCTTAGTGTGCTCCTTCAACTTGGATACTTGGAGGAACTCGAGCAGGGCGTTTTCATGAGGCACACAGACCGCACCACGTGGACTGTGCACCCGGACTTGAACGACCTGGCACTTAAAGCATACAAGCGCAGAACAGAGAACACGATTTTCACACGTCTGGTCCAAGACCGGCAGCTGTTCGCTCAAGGGAACGAGGTGTTCAACGACGCGGTTGTGCAGGAGCGCCTTGATACTGAATGCGAACGTGATGCAGCATGGCCGGAGCTGAGGACTTCTAGGTCTGTTCCGACTGTTGCAGCTGGTGGTTTGGTTGATGATGTGACTGTTCCAGCCAATGTTCCGGCTGAGGAGGATGATGATGTTGCCGCGAGTGAGGTGACTGAGTCCGAGTTTGGTGACTCGCCTATTGCGCCTGCTGAAAGTGCTTGGCCCAGTGAGATCTGGCAGGCTCAAGCGAGTGGCACATGGCGTGATGCACTGAATGTCAGAGGCATAGTGACGAGTGGGGCACGGTACGAAGGGTATCGGAACCCGCCGCATCTTCAGGCTCTGCTCGATTTGGGAGTTTTGGTTCAAGTCAATGCGGGTGTCTTTCAGCTGGTGCACCGACCGGAGCACCGTATGCCAGTTGAAGTCTTGCCCTATCTGGCCGTCAAGGGCCATGCCAATCGTCAAGAGGAGGACTATCTCCAATTCCTGTTGGACAACGAGATGTTGTTTGACTGCACGCCTGACTGGTCGCAGTTTGACCCCACCAGAGAATATGTTTGCAACATGTTCTGGGATGAAAATGTGGAGGCTCAAGAGCGACACCGCCAGGGTGTTCCAGTTTCATCTTCTGATTACAACTATGATATGGACGTTGAGGCACTGTTGGAACTTGGTGTTCTAACCGAGGTTGAGAAAGGGTTGTTTTCTTCCGCGTCTAGGTCAAGCACGCGGCGTATCGACCCTGCACGACTGGGCCGTATTGCCCGGCAGATGCACGAAGACGGGTCTGCTACTGCTGTCTTGCGCCACCTTGCAAAATCCGACGTGCTGTTTGCGTGTGCGGATCCTGCTGGCGGTGCTAACATGTGGATGGATCGGAAGTATTACTTCGCTCATCTTATGCCGGCATCCCTGCTGGAGGGGGGAGCGTGTGTGTCTGAAGCGCGTGCGTTTACAGTAGACATGCCGTCAGGTGAAACTCGTCGCTCTTGGCGAGATGGTCACCAGGCAGCCCTAAACCCTGCGCCTCGCGCCAGGTATACCTACCCACCCCGTCTGTTAGCTTTGCTTGAGCTAGGCTACCTGATGGAAGTGCATAAGGGTGTTTTTGAGCGTCAAAACGTCCCCAACGAACGGTTTGTGCACCCTTTGCGGGGCCAGTTGGCTCGTGAATGTGCTCAGAGACAGTCAGAGGATGAGCTGCTCCAAGAGTTGTTGAACGATGGCGTGTTGTTTGACTGCAAAGGGGACAGCAAGTTCGACCTGTTCTGGGACAACGTGGTAGAATCCTTTGAGAGTGAGCGGCGGGCGCCAGCCCCGCAGAATGCGCTCCAAGTTGCAGGAGTGCCCACTGAGGTGGAACTCTGTGACGTCTCCTCTTCGGGTTTGAGTGCGCTGTTGGGATCATTGCCTGCTAGTTTTACCGCAGACAGGGACTTGGAAGTCCACAAAGCCCCAAGACTGGACAACAGTAACCCCCGACGGCTTGCTTGTACGATAAATGGCAAGGTGCTTCAGCACCTGGTGGTTGATACGGGGTGTGAAATGATCGTCATGGGCAGGGAAGCGGCCAGGCAAGCAGAAATCAAGCCCAGCACGATGAAGAAAGGCGCCGTTGCGCTGCGGTGTGCAGATGAACGGGTCACTGCACCGTTTGACCGATCCTTAGAGCGAATTCCGGTTGTGCTTAACCCAGGCACGGTGGGTGAAACCACTGTTGGTGCATATGTGGTTGTCACACCAGGAGACAATGATATTGTGCTTCTCGGAATGAGTGTGATTGGGAAGGTTGGACTGACCGCAAATGCCTACAAAGGCAAGATGAAGTACTACAAGGACTGGCAAACAAGGGGGACAACTTCTGTTGGGATACCTGCTGTGTTTGAGGTGCTGCACCGTGGCGCACCCCTGTCGTCCAAGATCGCAAAGGAAGCCGTAGTGGTGGATGCGCGCGTGGCAAGCGTCATGCCACAAATGGCCAATCCAGTGTCAAAGCCTGATATGCAGCATGCAAACTTTTAGTACTACACGTACAGGAAGCGGCTTCTGGAGGAACTCGATCTGTCCTTCGATGAGTCCGTGATGGCTCTGCGGCAAAAAGAGGCACCCCCACCTCCTATTACGCTTGCAGGGTACGCCAACCTTCGGCCCCTTAACCAAGACATTGTGGGCGTCCTTTACTGAGTCTGCGGAGTCTGGTCTGGTTGTTGTTGAGTTGTGCGCGGGCATTATGGCGTCTACAGAGGCGCTGATTCGCATGGGGATCAAGATCAAGCAGCTTCACTGCTGCGAGAGCGACCAGACAGCTCGGGCGGTTGTGATGGCTAGGTTGAAGACGTTGAGCGGAATTTTCCCTGACCTCTTGGCCGAGTCTGCGTTCGAGAACTGCTTTGGGTTGCTGCCACAGGACGTCAAGCTGATCAATCAAAGTCACATCATTGCGCTAGGACCTCTTGACTTGGTAGTTTGTGGGTTTCCCTGCCAGGGATTCTCGCGGGCGTCGGGGACGGCCAAAGGCCTTCGAGACCCACGCACCGCCGTCTTTGTCGACGTAGTTCGGTTGGTACACAGGATCATTCGCCACCAAGGAAACTGTGCGTGGTTGTTTGAAAATGTTGATGCATCAGATCACCCAGATCTCCAGGTGCGCCAGGAGTTCAACGAGGTGGTCAAGGGAGTCCTCGGTCAAGCCTGTGCCTTTGATGCTGTTGCAGTGGGTTCGTACGCCCACCGGTACCGTAGGATCTCGACCAACCTGATTCCGACCACCTTGCTTCACGAGATGGTGGATAAACGGTTTGAGACACGGTCGCCTACTCAGACAGTGCAGGATGTTCTAGGACCAGGGCGGCTTGCCCTCAAGGCGCAGCACAGTAGAGCCCCGGGTCCGCATGCTGTCAATGTTGTTGGAGAGCCCTGACGCGCTTTTGCCACCTTCGTCACTTACAGAGGGTTGCATGCCTACGTTGCAGGTCAGCAGAGCCTCGTGCGGTCCGACCGCGGGGGAATGACAAAGCCGACTGCGGCAGAGCGCGAGGGGGCGATGGGTTTCGTGCGCGGGACAACCGTCAAAGTCTCGGCTGGACCCCCAAATGAGGGTGAGCGATTGCGGCTGCTTGGTGCCTCCATGGACATGTTCCAGTTGACCTTTCTGTTTGGCTGTGCTTTGCCCTTTCAGCGGGGTCTGCTCTCTAACTGACGGTTTCGAGGTCGGTCTGGTAGCGATCAGGCGTGACTAGGGGAGGATGCTTCCTTTCCTCGAAAGCTGTTCAATGTGAGTAGGGAAGACCTGACAACAGCCGTCAGGGACGGTCGCGTAACACGGGTGAGTCGCAGCCCTCAAGTTGCAGCTAATTTTCCTGGAGAAAATGAGCTGGGGGGGGGACTGGTCTGCACCCTGAGCAGAATTCAAAACTTTTGAGTGAGGGACTCAGTGACTTCACGGCCTGGTACGGCCAACACAGGGAAGGAGGACAGCCCCGCAGCGGCCAAGGCGGCCCAAGGACGGCCTCCACCCGACCCAGGTGAGAGTTCGGATTCAACTTCACTTCCAAGCAAGGAGGAAGAACCAGACGTAAACTCTGAACCTGCAGGGCCTAAGGAATTTAAGTGGCCAATGAATCCGAATCTCACAGCAGTTCAGAAGGAACAGTTGACTGACTTGCTGGATGAGTTTCAAGACGTGTTTGCTCATGACATCACAGAGATTGGAGTCATGGCGGACGAGGTCTTTCGGATTGCACTGACAGACGAGACTCCAATCTTCAAGACTCAGTATAGGTTGTCTCAGTACGAGAAAGAAATCCTGACTGAGCAGATGGAAGAACGGAAGTCTGTTGGGTTTATCAGAGAATCGACATCTAAGTGGGCGTTTCCTGTAACAATGCCTCCTAAAAAAGATGTGCACGGAAACTGGGCGGATAAACGGCCGTGTGTGGACTTTCGGGCTCTGAATAAGGTAACTCCCAAGGACCACTACCCTTTGCCGACACCAGAGGATATTTTTGATGAGCTGGCGGACTCCTGTATTTTTACCACCTTGGACTTGCGTATGGGATACCATCAGATCCGCATCGCGCAGGAAGACTGTTGTAAAACCGCTTTCTGGTGTCTTGACGGGTTGCATGAGTGGACAGCTGTGCCGTTTGGTCTAAAGAATGCGCCACCCTTCTTTCAGCGTGTTATGGACAAAGTGCTGAGTCGGGAACGTTACTGTACGCGTTGCTTTATTGACGATGTCATTGTCTTTTCCAAGAGCTTTGACGATCACCTGAAGCATCTGAGGGCTGTACTGACGCGTTTGAGGGACAAAAACATCAAGTGTCATCATAAGAAAATGCGCTGTGCAGAACCTGATGTTGAGTATCTTGGCCACAGGGTTGTTCCTGGGGGGACTGCCTCGATGCAGGTCAAGGTGGAGGCCATCGTGATGATGCGATCTCCGACATAGGTTCCTGAGTTGAGGGCCGTGCTGGGCACTTTCAACTATTACAGGAAGCTCGTTGAACATTACAGCACCATCGCTGCACCGCTGAACAATCTTCTGCGGAACGACGTAGCTTGGGGCTGGTCCGAGGCTTGTCAGCAAGCATTCGAGACGCTGAAGATTAGGTTCACAGAAGCGCCAATTTTGAGACGGCCTGATCACAAACGCCCTTTTGAACTCCATACTGTGACGGTTGGACAGGGTCACACGCTGCCTGTCTACTTCACATGTGCGGAAACCATGCGAAGCTTCTCAGCCCGCCTTGGGATCACCTCGTGCAAGAGCGCCTCTCAGAAAAATTGCGTCTTCTTGCCTTCTTCCCAAAGACTGATTAGTTTGGACTCACGAAGAGGCTCCATATTCAGTCGAGGAGTCTCGAGACTCGCACCTCGCAAGGCAC